ATAAGTAGCGTCAAAGCCAGAATATCCGGTTTCAGCAGAGCTAACTCGTACCTCCAGTTGAGTTTGAAGATTTAAATGCCAAGAAGACAGACTCCGGAGTACTCAAACCAAATTCTTCATCGTCTTCATCCATCTATCAGACGACTTCATCAACCACGGCCAACACGGTGTCCTGGTTGGGTTTCCGGAATCTCCTCGTTCATAAGTGTTGGGCTCAAGCTCATTTCGGGGGAAAGTCTTTCGTGAAGAGGTACGAAGCTCTATTCAATCAGAGGAAGACGTTATTTTTCTGTTCTAATTTCTTTGAGCTATCACTGCTGGCTTCGTAAATATGCTAACACGTAAAGACAAAGAAACACACGCAGACAGACACTCACAGGCCTCGAGGTTAACATATGACCAACTAACTTTATACCTCATCAAAGAACTTGAATATAGAGTATATATACAGCATTTAGGAGTAAGCCGGGGAGTTTTCTTGGCTCTTTAGCCTTAATATGATCGTAAGGATGATACTCTGCTCTGATTATTCCCATCATATAACATACGAAAGCATAGCACGTTTTGACTTGAATCGAAGGAGATTGCCTCGGAAATAACGTCAGCAAGAATGTTCCGGTAAAGCCACTCGACGGCTGGTCAGGAGGAAACGCCGTCGTCTTTTAGTGGAATAGAGCTTCAAACTCTTCACCGAACACCTTCACTCAAAATGGAAGTAGGCTCAACAAGTATAGGAGCTTCGATCAACCTAGGTAGCCTAGGGTGAATTAGAATACCTTTTGGAAGCAAAGCTAAGCAATATAATCATCTTATTTTAGGAAAATATCAATCTTTCATCACCTTAAGTGATCCAAGATGATTGAAGCTCTTACTCAAGAAATCTTACATAATTTGAATACTTTTTCAATTCTTAAAAATAGTGATATAATAATGAAATTTTCTTCTGCTCTGTGACATGATGGAACTCATGGTAGTGTGGTCTAGTGGTCATAATCGCTTTCTGGATTGGATTATCATAGAGATTGTGATGGGGCTCATGCGAGGCGAGGCATAAACTTCAATCCAGCCCGGCTCAGTCTGGAGGAGAATACCTTATGAAAGCAAGACCATGCAAAATTTGATAGCATCATTTTCCCGGTTTTGAAGTCGGCATCTTAACCGAACTTCGCCATTCTTAAAAAAATGTGACCACATGCCATCATCACCTTAAACGAAATAGGTTGAATGCATCTCATATTACTGATTTACTGATAGTCTCGAAACTCTACTTAAATACGAAAAATAAGTAACGTAGTCGATTGTTATAGCAAATATAC